AAGGAAACTCAAAGTGAAGGCCATTTTTTCGGCACACAAAACTGCTTGGTCGTTCAATTATTATACATCATTTCATCCAGAATCAAGCTTATTCACTTCCACAAAAATCATCTCCAATTAAAGGAAAAAATGAAAAATGAACCTTATTCAGGTGTAATCCAAAAAACAAATAAAGCAAAGCACTTAGCGCAGCACAGCACAGCACACGGATGCACCACTTACCAAACAACACAACGGCGCCATCAATATTACCAAATGAACCTCACATCACTCACCTTTGAGGAGGATCCACTGTCCGAACATTTGCACCAGTCTTCCCCTCAATTCGGTCCTTAGTAATCTCCACAAAATGACCCACCATTTCATGGAATTGCTTCAGCCCAGAAAGTGGAAGGATGATAGATGAGCGATCTGAACCAGTCACCTGCAGTTTTCGCAAAGTTTTTAACAATAATGGATGCAACAAAACTCGATAGTCATTATGTATCAGGAGAATAAATAAATCCATCACACACCTCAGATATCCTCAGAAAATGACCTCTGTTATTGCTGCCAAGATCAAAAAAGAACTTCTTTTGATCAGCTCTTATCACTTTGGAGACTCCCAAGTTACCCATGTCATCAGGTGGGGGCAGATCAGAAGATCGGTCAATATTCAAGCCAGCTGCTGAGGTAGGTTGAGAACTGTGGCTGGAAATAAAACCAGCCCCGACATCATCTGAGAGCCCAACTAGGCGATCTGGGGCTTCAGAGTTCTGCTCATGCTTACACACAAATAGCAGTAAATGAGATTTTGCTTTCTAAGGAACTTCAAGAATAAGAGCGAGACGAATAACGAGAGAGGTGGTTTTCAAGAATTACCTGATTGGACAGGATGAAAAGGCCAGATGCTTCGTTTATTTCAGCCAAGATGTTTCTAAAGGCTGCCCACCCTTCATCTCGGGCACTTCCTGCAGGGACAATGATAGTGCTACGGTTGCGGCTGACCGAAGCTTCGGATATCTGCATGGGAAAATGTATATAAGTTCAAATGTATGCTTTAATGTGCAGTTTATTGTGAAGTACAAGTAAAAATGATTATCTTCACATAGAAGGTGTCTCTAAAAAGAGACCATTCACTCTTTCAATAACGGAAACAAAATGAAAACACATACTTGTGTACTCCTAGCAATAGCTACACCACGAAATCAAGATTCCGTAAATGGGCCCCATGATCATGATCAGGGGTGGATGTAAATTTGAAAAACTAAGGAGGCCCAATGTACCTTTTACGAAGTGCCAAGAATGAAAATGATATTATTTTAGAATTGCTCTTTACATGTTCTCATATTCTGCACCATTCAAAAATTACATCATTTTCAATCTTATCAAATAAATCTCTCTCAAACATAAAAATATTTACTTTTCTTTTATTTATTTTTATTATCAACATTCGTAGACTTCTTTTTATAATATTTCTTCACAATGGATACAATTTGATAGCTTATTAGTTGAAGAAATCAATCACAAGTACAATTTGATAGCTTATTCAAAAATTACAGTTATAATTTGAAAACACCTATAATAAAATATACATCAAAATTAATAACAAGAGTTTAGAAATCTAAATTACGATCACATTTATTCTTGAAATCCCTAAATAATATAGGATTACATAAACTAAAATATAGCTTAAAAAGGCAATAAGTGCAATGACAGGTAAATAGAATCTGCTCCGAGAGTGGATAGTGAAAAGATTTATTTTTAGGTTTTCCTTCGAGACAGAGTAGCTCTACTTGATAAAAATAAAAGCCTATTATGTTTTCCTACTATTTAGAGAAAATAATGGGTCAATAAATCAACCTTCCTCATAAAGAACTTAGGCACAATTTTGTATAATACAAGTACTTTTTTATATTTCTACAGGCCAGCCCTGTTTGCCTCTGCCTCTGTTCATGATCGTATAAACAAAAATAATTCAGAGAATCAAAGAATAGCTTGCAAAATCCAAGGTCGGGGCATGATCAAGCATGGGTGAACTGAAACTTGAACAAACTTGAACAGGACATTGTTGCTTTAAGATGGAGATGCCAATGCTGAGCCATGAATAATACATACACAAGAGGTCACCTCCTATGCATTACTTCTGACTTTCAGCCACGAGTTGTAGAATAAATTGGAGATAAAGATGGGAAGTGATTATGTAGTATCCTTATTACAACAAAAAAAAAAGTCCTCTCAACCAAGCAAATGTTGTTCAGTAGTCTGTCTCCAAATATCATTTTTTCCACCATCTATTTGGTGAGTATTTTGGATCACTTACGCAATCCATCATATAGAAAATAAACAATATACTTACATATCTTGATTCTTTGAGCAATACATCTAAATGATTCAAATATTACATGCTATAGCTATTGGAGTAAATGTACTACTTTTTGACATGGAAAACTGAGGTATAATGATTTTACACTTGCTTCTTATAACTATAATTGAAAATTTGACATCTGAATTAGGACACCTCGAAGACTCCGCTCTAGATACACAATATTGTGCCATTCATTGCCTTCACAAGCAATCACTCGTCTAAGACAAGTACTGAATACTGAATAATCAACAACAACAAACTAGGACTTCATGAACGAAAGAGAATTGGGACACTCAAAAGTAAATAATTGCTGATAATTAATTTATGCACAATACCGAGGTGACAATAACAATTAATATGAAACAAAAGGGACGAATTCAAAAATTAGCCCCTTACTTTGAGAAAACGTCCCCTTCTGTTCTCGCCAACATCAAAATAGAACACCTGCAAGTCAGTTTGTAAGAAATAATTGAAGAAGGACGTGAAAAAAATAAAAGATTAAACTAAGCGACAAAGTTGCAAACAGTAACCAGAAGCGTAAGTGTGAAAGATGTGCCTTGGTATCGAGCTGCAGTTCTTTGCTGAAAACATCCTGTTCGTCGGAATTGACATAATAATTGAAGAGATCGAGGAACCAGGCGATGCCATTGGAAGGCACTATGATGGTTGACCTGGTCGCCGAGGTTTTCTCCGAGATCTTAAGGTAGCGCCCACGAGGATTCTCTTTAAGGTCGAAGTAGAAAAGCTTGTGCTCGACCTGCAGCGTCTTGCACAGCAACTCCACATCATTACCCCCTCCTCCTCCTCCTCCGCCGCCGCCGCCCGTAGAATTACCCTCCATCGGTAAAAATATAAGGAAAAAAGACACACTTTTTCTATAAACAGCAAATTATAATAAATATGAGTAAAGAAACTGTATGAGTCAAAATAGATAGAACTGGCAAGGTTGATCGCTTCAAGGAGCCAACAAATCAGATGGCCATGGCGGCGGTGCTGGCGCTGTGTTGCGTCTGGGTTTTTCTTTAGGGTTTCGAGGGAGAAACGACGGGAGGGAGTAAAATCCAATAGAGATGAAAACTTTCTATTTCTGAGCTAATTTGTAATTTATCTTGTCTGTTATTTGCGTCAACTACTTCCGAGGAAAGTAGCCCGCACTCCCACCAACTGACGTAATGAGAAAAAATACAACTATAGGTTGCAATTGATATTAGAGTTGAGCATGGATTAGTATGGTTCGGAGATTGATAAATTTTCAGAATTGTATCGAAGTTCAGAGATCAATAAAATTCGATCTCTAGAACTATACTAAAAAATCGGTTCGGTCTGGTTGGGAGATTTTTATTTTTTGATTCGATTCGGTTCGGTTTTTGGGTCTATCAGAACGATTCGGCTCGATTTGGTTCGGTACGGATATTCAAAGATTTCTTATCCTTTTTTAAATTTTTTTGAATGACCACCTAGTTATATTTTATTTTTTATATGTTTTTTTTAAATCCAACATTCATCAATACTTCATCATATTAAAGATTTTATTTTTAAATCAACTTTAGAAGTAACCCTAAATTTTAGTTAAGACTAAATTCAACTAACATTGAAAATTTAAAATTCTAACAAAATATATTACAATTTTATATTAAAGTAATATTTAACTATTTATCAACCTTCCATACCATGTTAGTTATAAGATAAACTAAGGCTAAGTATCGACAACTTTAAGTAAACCTTAATTTTTATTTTTATTTTAAATCTTTAACCTTTCATTTCATTTTTTTTAAACAGGAGAAATTCAATTGTAGATCAAGTATTACTAAACATGAAATGTAAGTGAATATTAATTGTTATTACTATATTTTATTTGCATTTTAAAAATTCTCAAATTATATAGGATCAAAGTTGACATAAAATATATTAATAACACGCATCTATTTTTATAATTCGGTTCTTAATTTCGCTTTTTCGGTTCGGTATGGGACGGTTCGGTTCGGTTCTCGGTATGGATATTTATGAAATGTCCAGAACTGTACCAATTATTTTTTCGGTCCGGTTCGGTTCGGTTCAGTTCAGAGAAAGTCAAACGGTCAACGGATATTTTTCAGTTCGGAGTGATTTCGGTCTGGTTTTCGGAATGGTACGGAATTCTCCGAGTCCCATACTCAACCCTAATTGATATACTATCGTATGAATGAAAACAGTTTAGTTTGGAATATAAAAAATAGTGGAAAATTTTAATGGTACGTATATATATAGTAAAAGTTAATTAACGTGTAGTAGAAAAAAATAATAATCTATATTTATATATATTAAAGGGAAAAGTCCACTTTTGGTCCTCCATGTTTAGGGGTATCCAGACTGAGTCCCTATTATATTTTGGTGCTCACTTTTAGTCCTTAAAACAAAAAAATGTAGTCCCTATAATAGGAAAAAGTCCATTTTTGGTCCTCCATGTTTGGGGGTATCCAAACTGAGTCCCTATTATATTTTGGTGCCCAATTCCAGTCATTAAAACAAAAAAATGTAGTCCCTATAATAGGAAAAAGTCCATTTTTGGTCCTCCATGTTTAGGGGTATCCAAACTGAGTCCCTATTATGTTTTGGTGCCCAATTTTAGTCCTTAAAACAAAAAAATGTAGTCCCTTTACCTCAATTTCTGTGAATTAACAGTCCGTTTTTGCTCGACTGTGATGTTCTTTATTTTTTTTAAATTTGTTGACTAATGTCAACTTTGACCAAAGAAAAATAAAAGAAAATTTAAATGCTGAAAAGGTAAAATAAAAGGCAGAAATGGTGAACTACAATAAAAGGTAGGAAAAAAAAAAACCCTAATTGCCTAGGGACTAAATCCGATCAAATGGATGGAAATGGTGTGGTATTTTGTAGATGTGGGTTGGATGTAGAGATGTTTAATGGTCCTTGGCCCGACGGGTCGGCCCGTTTAGCCCGGAAAAAAAAAAAGAAGAGGGTTAGGTCCTTTTATTAGTAGCCCGTTTAAATCAGGGCTTTTTAGGGCTGGACCATTTAGATCGAAGCCCGCTAGGGCTAGCCCGGAACCCGTTAGGGCTAGCCCGTTTAGCTAGAGTTGGGCGGTGTAAATGTTTGCATCAAGTAAGTGATATGCTCTTAGATTCCTTGTGTATTAAAATTTTGATATTCCACTTCACATGTAAGTACGTGTTGTAATGGATTATTATGATTTTGAAAGATAATTATTAACAATATTGTACTTCATACCAAAATATTTAAGTCAATCAGAACGACTAATAAGAAATAATGAAACATAGTGATAGACGGTAAATACTAAATAGCCGTTGAAGATAATTTTTAACTAGCCGTTGTTATTTTTTTTATATTTTTTACTCTTTTTGTTTTTTATTTTTTTATATATTATTATTATTATTATTATAGCCATAGCCCGCATAGCCCAAAGCCCGCTAGGGTTAGGGTTAGGTCCTTTTTTTGGTAGTCCGTTTAAATCTGGGCTGTTTAGGCCTGGACCGTTTAACTCGGAAGCCCGCTAGGGATAGCCCGAAACCGCTAGGGCTAGCCCGTTTAACATGTCTAGCTGGATGCAAAGTTGACTACATGCTGGAAGGATGATAATCTCGGGAGAAGATTCTTGAGTTGCCCTCTATATCCTGTAAGTACTTTCCGTGAACTTCAATTGGAATATCCCTTTCTTCTTGTTTATTGGACTGATGATAAGAAATTGTTAAAAATACAGAGGGTTGATAGGTGCAATTTTTTTCGATGGCATGACCCGGAAACGGGTGCAAGAGCAGTAGCTATGATTCCAAGCTTGCTCCGCAGCGCGAATGCTAGAGAAATAGAAATCAGACGAGCAAAAATTTTAATTTAATTTAGTGCGATTTCTTGTTTTAGTTTAATTTTTGATTAATATATTTTCAGCATTTAGATTTTCTTTTATTTTTCTTTGGTCAAAGTTGACATTAGTCAACAAATTTAAAAAAAATAAAGAACATCACTGTCGAGCAAAAATTGACCGTTAATTCACAGAAATTGAGGTAAAGGGACTACATTTTTTTTTTGTTTTAAGGACTAAAATTGGGCACCAAAACATAATAGGGACTCAGGATACCCCCTAAACATGGAGGACCAAAAGTGAACTTTTCCTTATATTAAAACTTAAAATAGGTTGATGGAATAATCTGAAATATTAACTTTGACTTTGTAATTAAATAGTTTGACTTACTATTAAAGAAAATAAAAATGGCTTCAATATTTATAAAAAATTAAAATAAAATTATACCTACTTGCTGTAAATCGTGTAATTCGGTTAATACAACGACTTTCTATACAAATAAAATGGTATTAATACTAAAAATTATTTTGTGATAATTATCGCAATAAAAAATATTGTCTTCATATTAATTACGAATTACTACAATTTCTTATTTTTTTGGTAACTAACCATACAACATGTTTTCGAAAAAGTTTCTAAGAAATATGCTTTGTTTTTAAAAAATATTATTTAAATATGCACGATAAAATTACAAATATAATTATAAATAAAAATTAAAATAAATTATAAAAAAATTATTATGATGCTTATCACAATGTTACAATATAATTTTATTTATCAACATTAATAATATATTACAGTTATTTCTTATTCATTTGGTAACCAATCACCTACATATATTGAAAGAGGTTGATGGAGTAATCTAAAATAGTAACTTTGACTTCTCTTTATCAACTATATTCGCATGTATGTTGCATAGTTTATCGCATAATTTGTTTTGCAGTTTATTAAATATCTTCGTCTTTTTTAGCTCATAGTTTATCGCATAATTTATTTCGCATCCTATCAATTATATTCATCATCATGTCGCATTGTTTATCGCATAATTTATTCAGTACTTTATCATTTATCCTCGTCTTTCTATCGCATAAGTTTTTTCGCACTTATCAATTAGCTTCGTCTGTTTGTTGCATAGTTTATTCCATATTTGTTTTGCACTTGATAAATATCTTCGTCTTTATGTCTCATAGTTTATCGCATAATTTGTATCGCACATTATCAATTATTTTCGCCGTATTGTCGCATAGTTTATCGCATAAGTTTTTTCGCACTTTATCAAATCTTCGTCTGTCAGCCGCACAGTTTATCGCGTAATTTGTTTTGCACTTTCTCGAATATCTTTGTCTTATTGCCACATAGTTTATCGTATAAGTTTTTTTCGCACTTTATCAATTATTTTTGCATGTATGTCACATAGTTTATCGCATAATTTGTTTCGCACTTTATCAAATATCTTTGCCTTTTTGTCTCAAAGTTTATCGCATAATTTATTTCACACTTTATCAATTATATTCGTCTTTCTGTCCCATAGTTTATTGCATAAGTTTTTTTCTTGCACTTTATCAATTATTTTCATCTGCTTGTCTCATATTTTATCGCATAAATATTTCGGACTTTATCAATTATTTTCGCATGTCTGTCGCATATCTTATCGCATAATTTGTTTTGCACTTATCAAATATCTTCTTTTTTCTGTCTCATAGTTTATCGTATACATTGTTTCACACTTTATCAATTACCTTCGCTTTGCTGTCACATATCTTATCGCATAATTTGTTTTGCACTATATCAAATATCTCCGCGTTTCTGTCTCATAGTTTATCGCACAAGTTTTTTCGCATTTTAATTATTTTCGTCTGTCAATCACACAATTTATTGCATAAATATTTCGTACGTTATCAATTATCTTTGTCTGTGTCGCATAACTTATCACACAATTTGTTTCGCATTTAGTGGGGTAAAAAAATTAATTCACGGTGTGAAAAACTTATTCCGAATGTAGAGTGAAAATTGTTATTTCTCTTAAAACAACAACTAGAAATGATTTTCTTTCTTAATCCATTACCTCCGTCATACACCAAATTAAAAACTTTGCTCGTCTTCTGAACATATTATATCATGTTTCTCACAATTAGGCATCCAAAACACACGCGCACACACACATATATATGTGTGTATACTCGAAAACAACTTCAACTTTTGGAGCTAAATAATTAATAATTAATTCAAGGCAAAGATGAAAACAAAACACCACTACTCATCCATTACAAATGCAGAGATAGGAAGGAGAAAGAAAATGAAGACGGACTGGATATATAATTATGCTTTACACGTATGGAGCCGGGTCAGGCAAGCCCTTGACAATACCGCAGAGCTGCTGTGTTGGGGGCAGGTTGTACTCATCCCTCAACGAGAGGTTGGGCGACAACACGCTCACATACATCTGCTGCCCCAGGTACGACCTCTCACCCATGTCCGACCTCAGATTCCACATCCCCGCATTGTCCAACGTGGTCATCACTGCCGCCCACGACTGCGGGTACACGTGGATGGTATGCCTGCTCACAGCATCCAACAGATTATAATTCTTTCTCTTCTCCGGGCCCCACCTCCCCGGCTCGATCGCCACCGCGAAGAACGAGTACCCGTCCAAGTGCCACGTCTGGATCGTGTTCTCCCTGTTCTCGAAAACAATCTCGACAAAGTTCCGGAAGGTCGCGTTCGTCACGCTGGGCGCCACGACCACCCGACCCGCGTTCTCCACCGCCTCGTCCTTCACCAGCCCGTACTCAAACACCTTTTTCGCCAGCCCAAAGTACTCGACTAGCTTGAGAGGCGTCTCGCCGTCGACGTGCGACACCCCGTTGATGGCAAAGCGGAGCTTCCCGTCGACCTGCGCTCGGGAGTTGGCGATCTTGATGGTCCGCGTGATGTTGATCTTCCCGTAGTGGTACGAGCCCTGCGGGTTGGGCCGCGCGGCGCTGGCGGTGAGATTCCACCTGAACGATCGGAATTGGTTAACGGACCAGGCGATGCCAGGCGTGCCCTCGGGCGGTGCCAGGGGAAGTGCGGGCGAGGCGGGGACTCCCTTGCCGTTAGCATACCGGACGATGCTCACGGAGACGAGCGGTCTCTTGAGGAAGCGACCCGAGGCGACGAAGTAGTAGTCCTTGGGTGACTGGTCGGCGGTGACGAGGACGGACATGCACTGGCCGACGTGGAGGTCGAGGGAGTCGTACAAGTTCTGCACCGTGTGGGAGCCTTCCATCTCGACGAGCTTTAACGTGTGGCCTTGGAGGCGGAAGTTGACCGAGGCCTTGAGACCGACGTTGCAGACGCGGAAGCGGTAGGTCTTGCCAGGCTGGACGACAGCGAGGGGCTCTGAAGCGGCGTCGCCGACTCTGGATGATTTTCCATTGATGTGAATGCCGTCGGGGAGGCCGATGCTGTTGCCTCCGTCGAGGATGCGTTTTAAGGCCTTGTGGCCGCGGTTATACCAGTCGCCGAGGAGGACGGCGAACTCGTCGGCCGGCCAGTCGAAGGGGACGGGGATGAGGTCGCGGCTGTGGACCTGAAGGATGCCCATGCCGCCGGCCGCGCGGTGGAGGGCGGTGGTCGGGTAATAGAAGTAGCTCCCGATTTGGTCCTTGACCTGGAACTTGTAGGTGTAGTTTGTTCCGGGCATGATGGGGCACATGGTGCCCAGGGTTCCGTCCTGCCAGGAGTTTTTGCGGTGCTGAATGCCGGCCCATGTGAGGAGGAAGGGCTCGTCCAGGTGGTTGAACACGTTGACGACTATGTTGTTGTTTGAGGTGCAGTTGATCTTAGGGCCGGGGAACTGGCCGTTGATGAGGATACCCTGTTGGGGGACGCCGAGGGGGGAGATGTTCCCGTACGAGACGTTCCACTCGAAGAAGAGGTAGGGATCCTCTGCTAGAGTCCGCATGGAGAGGCAGAGCAACATTGCCACAAACATCATTTTTTGGTATGCCATGGCTTTTTCACTCTGCTCTCTCCACTTGAGGGAACCGGGCTCGGCTTTGAATCTTTCTTTATTGCTTTTCTTTATTTTATTACTTGTTTGTTTCTATCATTACATAATGGCGAGGCCTTTTTATACTTGAGCTTTTGGTGGTGAGTTGGTTATCACGCAATTAACGGTCTTCGCCTCTTCTCCACAAACCTTGCTCCTTCTTTTGTGTGTTTTCTCTCCTTCCCCTTTGAATGCTCCTTGTCCAAAGGTCTCTTTATTTGTGGCCACTAGTCTGCACTTTGTGTAAGGTATTAATTCGTGTGATTATAGAGAAAAACAATAACAACGGGACCAATTTAATTGCTAATTACAGGTCAATATATTATCTTCAGTCATATTTTTTGGACTTTATCCACCATGTTAGAAATTTTATTAAGCAATATTTATTTTATTAGTACAATACTCGTGTACTGTACGTGTATTTATTCAAAAAATTATATTTGAAATTAAATAATAATAACAACACAGAGTGTCTTAGTTTTTAAATACTTTTTTGAAAAAATATATCCCCCTTATATCAACATCACATGAAGGAGTGCTATGACACAGGGAGACGCGAGAATCAGTTCGAGACAGACGAGTGGGTTTGTTTGAAGATGCGGCCTTATTGTCAGCGCATGGTTTTGCAAACGGAATTGCATAAGTTCGGAATCATATCAAGTAGTGTGTGGGCAATGTGGCGTATCGGCTTGATTTATTGGCCGAGTCTCAAACTCATCCAGTCATTCATGTTTCACAGTTGAAAAAGAGCTTAGATGAAGCGTACAAGGTTGGAACGCGGCTACCGGCAATGGATACAGAAGGACAACTCATTGTGCGTCCTAGCCGGGAGTTAGATTATCATCGTGTGAAGAAGGCTGACCAATTTTGTTGGGAGGTTTTGGTTGAGTGGGACGAGTTGCCGGAAGAAGAGGCAATGTGGGAAAATATGCACGAGATACGTATTTAATTTTCGACATCCTTGAGGACAAGGATTTACTTGAAGGGGACGAGAATGATGCGAATGAAGGTGAGATGCTCAAGAACGCGTACAATCGGGCGAGACGTGCGCGCATTAAGGAAGCTGGCAGATGTGTCTTGAGGATCAAACCGGCCAAATTTCCTAGTTTATCTATTACTATATTTCTTTTCCTAGTTAGCATATGTGTTTGGTTATTTTGGAAATCCTTAAGGCTTTACATATTAGTATTTTTCTTGTTTGTTGAACATTGATGTTGTATTGAAGGGTTGCTGTTGGCCTTCCCTGTATTTTATTGTTAGCAGTTGGTAGCTTGATTGTAAGACATTTTTGAGTTTTTATTATATCTGTTATTG